CTGGGCTGTCACCGCTTGGCCGCCGGTGGGGGTTTGGGAGGCCTGCGTGCTACTTCGTTCATCTCCTCTGACAGGTCACTGCTTCGAGACACTTCTGGCGCACCTGCCTCGGCACTTTTGTGTCCTCATTCCGGTTCGTTTTTTTCCGTGAGCTTTTCCTGGCGCCGTGCACGCTGCTTCTCCCCTTACCAGCAGCCCAAATGCTCACGACGATGAGCTGGGCTGTCACCCGCTTGGCCGCCGGTGGGGGGTTTGGGAGGCCGCATCACACACAGACACCCACACACTCCCTCAACTTACACGAACACACACATACGCAGACTCATTTCCACACGGACATAGACACACGCACAGAAACCCACACACTACCTCAACTCACTCGACTTCACACTTCTCACTGCACACTTACCGGATAACTCGCACTCTGACTTCCTACGTGATGAAAAATGCTTTCGGGCCACTCGTCGTCTAGTTGTTTACTGTTGGATGTAGCAAACACACATTTTAAAAGAGCAAATCAACAATCACACTACAAAACAAACAACAATGAAGCATGGTCAGCCGGTCTGTCGGTCAAGGATTTCCTGCATTGATCTAACCAATCTGAACCCCGCTTCAACCTGTGCGGCAGAACAATTCTTGCATACCTTAGCCCAAACCTGTCGAATCCTGTAGATTTGGGAGGCTTAGTAAAGTAGTCAATTTGCGTACTTTTGTGCTGGTGTCTTGATGATCCACAAGTAAAAAGTAAGTCGTTGTGTTTTGGCAATTATTGTCATTATTGTGAACAATTGTGAACAGGGGATGAGCATGGCTCAAAAGTCCACCGTATTATTATGTGACTTGGGACACAAGCGTATAGTTTTGTGATACAATGGGTTTGTTTAGTGGAAGGTTCGATTCCGAATAATCTCGGCCTATACTTGCATTTGCGGAGTTGGGAGATACTTTTGCAATATAATATGTTCATTTGGCGGGTGTCCAGTTGTAAAAAGAAGTGGTTGCTAGTTGATCGTTTATCGTTTCTGGGGTAATCAAACCGCTCTAAAGAATTTTCGGGGGCCCTTGTGAAGCTCAGGAATTTTCGAGGAGGACCGGCAAGCAGGGATTCCTGGCGGATTGGTCGGGTGAAACCTGGTCAAGATGGCCATGGCATACATTCACTGCAGACCTTTTCCCTAACCAGTCAGTGGATAACATTAAACCTTTTTGGGATTGTTTTTCCTACTATACATCAACTTTGGCCTTTGATCTCGCTGTGTGTGGTACCTAGTTCGCTTCGTGGTCCTGTAATCTTTCCAGTGTTTTCGCTGTGACCTGAGTGCCAACAGCGCAACGCGGCCTGAGTACGAGGCAAGGATGGTAGAACAGGTGGAAACAGGTTAACCTTTACATCCTTTACTTTCCAAGGAAACTTGGGGAGTTCGAAGAAAACTGCTGTGGCCCTCACCTTGAAAGCATTTGTCACACAACGCCGGGCACATCCTTCGCAAACCCCTTGTTGATTCGGTCAAAGTGTGTTCGAATGTGTTGCCATGCCCTCCTGGGAAGGTGGAATCCGCACAATTAGAGCTGGGAGCTAGGAGCTAGAATATAGCAATGACATGGTGGAAGATATGATAGGTGTAAACAATAGGTATGTGACCACAAAACGAAATACTTCTCCTGTTTGACGCAAGGTATTTTGCGGGATATTGTGGATAGCGGGTGTTAAATCCACGGTGCGTAACAGGACTGGAAATTGTTGTAGCAGTTATAGCATATTAAGATTGGAGTACCGGAGTGGGGGCTATCACATTCTGCTTCCGAGCCTTTGCTTTGAGGCTTCTTTGCTCTCACTGCATTCTCTTGTGATCAGGGCTAAGACTTTTCTGCCCATGTTGACGGGCCAAAACAGAGCCCCTGTTAGGGACTCTTGCCAAGAGTTTTGCTGCCGGTCCCTTTTTCTGAGTTCTTTGTACTTGCCAGAGCCACCAGGTTTGTCAAGCAGACCCGCCTGTCCAAGATTGTCACCAGCAAGGCCAAAAGCTGTGGGTGCCCGTGGGGCAGCTTTGAGAATCCCTTACGTTTTGATATATGTTTGTACTTTTGCAGGTCACCAAGTCTTGAACTTGAACGTTTCAACGTGACCCAGTCTTCAACGTGCGTTGCCGGCAGTTCTTCGACACCTTCTATAGTGTCTTGATCATCTTGAACTGCGTCACGTGCCCTGGCAGTCAAGACGTAACGCAGCTTCTCACAACATTGGACCAGCGGGTTTGGGATTTGGGCTCAAAAGGGCGCCGTTGTTGGTTTTTGTTCATGATGCTACTTGTAGTATCTTGTAGTGGATGTTTGTTGCAACCCGTGGTTTGGAGCCCACGGCTATGCTTATGAAGATCATTTGCATAAACCACTGTGCTCAGCAGCAATGGCGCCAGGGTGGTTGGGCACTTCCCACCTTGGCTCAGCTTGGCCCATGAATCCAACCCGGGACTCCTGACATCTCGTAGCCGCATGATCCACGCATAATTACTACTTGAGTATGACCCAAAACTGCGTGTTGACCCATTGATTCATAATGATTCATATACTCGCTGCTTTTGGGTCACATCATGCCATATCCATCCATATCCAGTGTCTTCTCGGAATTGTGCATTCGTTTGCCACCCAGGATGGGGCTACAGGCGGATATGCTAGTGAACGCCCGGGCCTCAGCGGGACGCACGGCCTTGTTGAAAGAAGTGGTGCTGGTTTCTGCATGTCGAGGCTAGTCTAGTGTTTTTTTCCTGAAGCAAACATGAGTCGATCATAGACTCTGCCAACTCTACCTTGCTCATTCTTCTATTTTCCCTTGAGCAAGAAGGATCCGTCCTACCAGGCATATATACCGCCAGTCTATTGCTGGCATATATATATATTATATATACTGCCCATTTTTGCGCATTGCCTTGGAGATTTGCCCTCAATCAATAGGCAGCAGTTGATTTTAATGATCAAAAGACCGCGATCAAGGTCAACTAGTTTATACTACATTATACTAATATATTGTTCCTATAGCATTCTAGAGCCTCTCCTGCTGCTCGTAGACCACCTGAATATACACATACATAATAGTTCAATTTGCCCGCCGTTTTCATGTTGTGTAAATACATTAAGATTATTTGTATGTAAGACAGATGCAGTCAAATCTGTCCGGGACATCGGGCATCCAACAAACCTGCAACACCGATGCAGGACGGCGAAACCGAAACCGAAGCGCTACTGGACGACAGTCCAAACCCATGCAAGCGGATCTGTAAATGGATAGTTTGTGTGTGGTTTTTGCAGCCCACCCCATAGTTGAGTAGGCGCCTACTTGATTAAGGAAGGGCCAAACAAACTAGGACGCAGGATAGCTCACGCTTCCTGCAAAAAACGTTGGCACTGTTCATTTGGTTCTTAGATTCATTCAAAAAGCACAAGAGTCGAGAATGTGTGTGTGTGTGGGGGCTTGACAACTAGTTCTGCCTGAAGGTATACATGCCGCGCGTGCAGTATATGCTTGTGTTTCTAAGACGTTCTACAGGTGAATGCAAACATAGATCTACTTGTGCCGCAAACCCATGCTTGCGCACACTACATGTCATGCATACTTGGTGGAGTGACGGGCTCTAGATCACTGGAAATGCAACCTTATAGTGTATATATAGCTCATGGGGTGGCACTGTAGGCCTAAGAAAAAATTCTTCCACAGTGAAGTGCTTGTGCCCGAGAGCTACTGAGACGCCTGCCGCTCCTTGCAGGTTCGAGTTCAGGGTGATGTGTTGGTGAACGCGCGGGCCTTGGTGGACGGACAAGTGGTGGATCGAAGCCCTACAAGATCCCACCAGTAGTGTGGAGTCAGTAGCTCCTTGGCAACCCCGTTCAAATTCGGCTGATATGTCTACATGATGCGCGATGATGCGCGTTGTTTGCTGTGGAGGAGGAGGGAGATATCCCTGAAAGGATTTTGAAGGGGAGCATTCCGAGTAGCAATCGGAACGGCAGCTGATGCGGGGCTACTTGGGTGGTTGACACGATTCCCTATCTCAACTCCATTTGGGCTTTGTGCCATATACGCTTTCAGTCACAGGAAGGCACCGTCAAATCTGCTGCTTGAAACATGACTTGTTGAATGTAAATGTAATTGTAGACGTTTAAGATATTGACACTTATAATCACTTAGATAGATATACATAGGGCATCTTAGGGCTGCTTCCCATGGGCTTCCCTTCTTGACCAGACCTGGCTGCCTGAGAATATGTGTATTTGAGACGATTTAGATCTGTTTAAGATGCTTTAAGTTTGTACCGTGCCTCGGTAGTAGTCGGGTAGAAGGCACATTGTGCCCACAGCTGAATGGCAGAAGATCCTGGGAAGATGCGCGAAGCAACGCAGACAGTGAACAAGAGACCGCACATAGTCAGAGCGATGATTCAAGCATAGCATAGACATGGTTTGCTGACACTCCTGATGACGGTGAGTGAGCCCTCAACGCCCATGGCCTCAGGACTACAGCCCGCAAGTGGTAGAAATTGTTCAGGTTGCAGAGCACATTCTTGTGGCTCCTGCCTTAGTTGGCATTTCACGCGACACGTATCCTTTTGTGTAACAGCCCACTGAAAGTCATTTCGTGGAGAGGGAAGTCTGGGATCTAATGTTAATGTGCAGACCTTGTATGGCTTCCACAATTGGAAATATCGGAAACACCAGGTATTGATTACGTCGTGCATTCTTGTCCTAACTATTCCGTCGCCGTAGTTTATTCTTTGTTTGCATCATTGGTGCTTCACACCATGAGCGACCTCAGTCTCTCTTCACCATCGAGATCACTGTGCGGCTAAGAGTCTTTGGGATCAGCAACTACTTTGATATCAGGAGTGGCGCCAACTCGTGCGCGCGGGTGACTTGCCGGTGACTTGTGGGTGACTCTTTGAGGCCACCATGTAGGGTCAATTGGCGAACGCCCCACTCCCTGAAAGGGCACCACATGGCCTGAAAAGAACGCAAGGCCGAAAGTTGCAAGACCCAGCCGGGTTAAGAGAGTAGATGGCACTGGCACACCAGGATGTCCTTGAGATCCATATCAACCACCTTTGGGGGGGTTGTGCCATCTACTCTGAAAGCACTGTATATTTGTTGACATCACTAGTTTCTATTGGCACGTTGTAATGCTATCACGGTGTTTCTCTTATCAGGACCCCAAAAGCCTGAACATCATCCTGATTCCTGAAGGATTGGCATCTAGACTAGACACCACTTCTAATTCTTTGATTTTTAACCCATGTTTTAGCCATTGCCCAGAGATCCAGAGGCCTACAAGACTTTGAAGAAACGTTTGGAGCTGTATTACATCACACCCCAACACTTGAACTTCAGTGTGACCGATTGCTTTCATGAACATTCCAGGCTGCATTCTGACTCCTAGCCTGTGGGGGTCGCAACACCTGTTGGTGACGGTTTGCTGACTTTGTCCGCTTCTATATTTTGCAGGCATCTTATGTTTTGGGTTTCGTGCGGTTTAGAAGGTGTCACCCTGCCAATCACCTCAGATCGATCAATTTGCAGGACTGCAGAAGGCTCTTTGGCATGCATCAAATGATATGGGCATGAGTTGAAGATACAGTCAAATGGCCCGAAAACACAGCCATCTTCAGGGAAAACACGCCGATGTTAGATGATGTTAGTTTTGTTGTTTGTTTGGGGTGGGACATTGATACTTCTGGATCGGTTTCTTAAAGCATGGAGCTTCTTGTTCTTTTTCCAGCAGCTCACGTTCCGCATTTCTTGCGTTCCGAATTTCTCGGTGCGGTCCTAGCTTCAAGACCTTTCGGGTAAGTTCAATGGTGGAAGTTGCAAGTGCTTTAGCCTTTTTGCTTGGCTGCTTTCACACAGACACGAACCAAACAGACGAAAGGGGTGCTACTATATTCAAGCGTGCAATGTTGTCGGAACGTAACTCCTCGTCTTCGCCCGGCTGCCTCGGTTGAGGTTGGTTCAATTTCGTCGACGTGTCTTGGACAGAAACGACCCGAATACCGGGTGGGCCAGAAGTATGCGCTGTACTGGGCGATGTTCAAAGGACTAGAGGAGAAAAATAGAATCCTTCGAAAACTAAGACGGATTCCAGTTTAGGAGCTGCTGTTTGCATCTATGCTCAGACTTCCCCTTGAGGCGGCCTTGCGTCTCAGTTCTTGAAACGCTTCGATTCGACGTTGCCCGTCGAGGCGATCATCGTGCTCCTTTCTGGGGTCGTCTCCGGTGCCTTGGCTGGAGCGATAGCGCCGGGTTCGGTGCGGAGACATACCTGCTGGGACTCACGAACTGTAGAAGACAGTAAAAACATGTAAAAACAATCCTGGAGGCAGGACTGCAGGACTTGTGGCGGCTTCTTGCCAGTCGCTCTCATCTCATAAACAATTGAACACCTCGACCCAAGCAGTGCCCAATGGAGACCTTGAAGTCATGGGGCGGTCGGTTTTGGAACACAGGGGATGGTTGTGGTATGATTCTTTGGGAGTCTGCTGGGTGTAGGAGTGTTCATGCCTGGACAGGAGATCTGAAGAAACTATATATATATATGTATGCATAATGATGTATATCGGCATATTTCTCTCTAATTATTTTCCAACTTGTGTATGCAACTTTCACCTAGCCACCCAAAGCGACTTTGGGTTCTCATATGTTCTCGTTCCTTGACCAGTATTCTTTGGGTCGTTCTTGGGTCAGTTGGCTCCCTTGAGGGCAATGAGCACTTTCACTGCAGCAACACACGAGAACGAGCGGAATGAATGCTGTGACCAATCCAACATTATCAACATTTGTTCCCAGGTGTTTCTTCAAAAATGCCTCCCAAACCGGTGTCACAGTGCCCCGACACAAGACGCATGAGTTGCACTCAAATTTTACAAGTTGTCTAGTTTAGTCCGCCGATGTCGACATCCGATTCATCGCCCGGTCATGTGAGGCTGGATCATCCCTTTGTTCGCTCTGATCACCCAGACGGAAATGAACGCAGGCAGGGTATGATTTGTCAGGGCAGTCAAGGTGGCAGAAAGCATTGAAGAATTCAAGGCTTCGGACTAGTCTCGGCATGTATACACATAGAATAGACATCCGGTTGCACAGCCATTGGTTTCTAGGACAGAGTGTCCAGTCTTTGGGTGGGTGCAGGATTATATAGATAGTTTGCTTCGTTGATCAGCCTTGGTCCGTTGATTCCAACCTGCAGAACGGCGCTCCAAGCCATCAGCCCCAAACCTGAAGACAACTCTGTGAGGGCAATGGGTATTTCAATGTAGTTCATATCCAAGTCATCCCAATACCGGGACCCAAGGCACTGAAAAGAATCATGTCAAAAGGTCACCTATAACACCTCCTATTGCCTGTTTCAACCTCCTATAACACCCGTCCTCCTCCAAGTGACAGTGCCTGTTCGACGCGCGACCGTGCCCAGACTTCTTGAGCACGTTGTCGGTCTTCCGAGCCTTGCGACTGCTGCGCATCGTCCGAGTGATCCAGCGGATGCCCATGTTCCGGGCGCTCCGACTGCGTTTCCGTTCAATCCGGGTGTGACACGGAAGGGGAGTACCAAGGGTGGGAGGAATGATGAGGATGAGATTGCTCCTAGCAAGTAGCGACGCCCTTTGTTCCTAGTAGCTTCTTGTTCCTAATAGTAAGGCCAGGAGCCCCTAGTAGCGTCCTTGCTCCTAGTAGTAAGGCCGAGAATGATATGCGGAAGTTAATTGCTTCATTCTTTTACCTTTTTTGGGGGTAAATTTGGCACAGCGTAGTAGAGGGTCACAGCAAAACAGATACCGGCGCGCTGGATCCAAATGGACGTGGACAATTGCCCATGGAACGGTTTTCTTTCAAGACCTCCGAGATGAAACATAATGAAACCCTTGTGATCCCTGATTTGGCGCCCAGATCAACAGCACTGGGAAGACAGCGAAATAATGTGAAATGTATGAGCCACTGCACCCAATGGCTGGCCAGAGTGCCGTGAGGTCACAAAGCGTCTCTTGACATGCAGATGCTACAAGATTTCAGAAATGCTAGGCCGGCTGACTGTTATGTTCCTTGCCATCCTGGGCTCATTTGGGATCACACGCTGCGGTTTTGGGTGCGTTTGTTTCAAAAACGCTGCGGCTGCTGCTAGCTGGCTTCTCGCCAGCCGCTAGAAGAGAAAAACTTGGGGGCCTTGAAACACGGTCGGGTTCCTTCTCGATCATTCTCAATCCATGCCTTCCTTTCCCGCCTTGCTTGTCTCAGGAAGTTTGGCTCCTTCTGAAGGGTCTCACGAGTTCGCTCCGCACACTGGTTTGGACCGTGATCGTGATTTTCGAGCCTTGGCACTGACTGAGTTTGGCCCCCCAAAAGGCGGGCTAGCACCTTGCTCGCGAGATACAGTCAGTACGGTTTTGGTGGGCTGAAGATTAGTCCACTCTGGCGGTGGTGGCTGTGCTTGTTGATGTTATCTTGCTGCGGTGTTGGTGGTGGCGGTGCTGGTGCTGGTGCTGGTGCTGGTGGTGATTGCTGCTTTGTTTTCTTGCGTGTGTGGGAGAAAAGTAAGAAATAGTAACATAATTAAAGAAATAGACTTATGTTAACCTCGTAGCATAACTCTGATGGTTTGGCAAATATTCAATTAACTATAAAAGCACACAAAAGCAACTACAAAATGCAAAACCAAAAAAGCAAGTCCAAGAATCAAAAACAAAGCAATTGAAAAAAGCAACAAAACAAAAACACATGAAAAAACACAATAACAACATAAGCAAATCCAAAAATAGAATTAACAGCCAAAAGCAATAAAACAACAATAACAAAAAGCAGGGAACAAAACGAAACAACAAAAGGCAAGCAAAACAACAATAAAAAAATACTTTACTTCGAGTGATCCCCACCATGACATTTCAATCATTTGTCTTGATGCCATAGTGAGGAGCATGTTGCCATAGTCGTTAGTATTGTAGTTCTCGATGTTGCTTGTGGGTCCTCGGGTTCTGTGCTGTGGTTGTGTGCTGTGTTGTGGTTGTGGTTGTGTTTGTGGTTGTGTGTTTGTGGTTGTGTCTGTGGTTGTGTGTTTGTGGTTGTGGTAGTGGTTGTGATTGTGTGTTTGTAGTTGTGGTTGTGGTTGCGGTTGTGTCTTTGTGATTGTGTGTTTGTAGTTGTGGTTGTGGTTGTGTCTTTGTGATTGTGTGTTTGTAGTTGCGTTTGCGGTTGTGTGTCTGTGGATGTGTTTGTGGTTGTGTTTGTGGTAGTGGTAGTGGTTGTGATTATGTGTTTGTAGTTGTGCTTGTGGTTGTGTCTTTGTGATTATGTGTTTGTAGTTGTGGTTGTGGTTGTGGTTGTGTCTTTGTGATTGTGTGTTTGTACTTGTGGTTGTGGTTGTGTGTTTGTGGTTGTGTTTGTGGATGTGTTTGTGTTTGTGGTTGTGTGTTTGTGGTTGTGTGTTTGTGTGTTTGTGGTTGTGTGTTTGTGGTTGTGTGTTTGTAGTTGTATGTTTGTGGTTGTGTGTTTGTGTTTGTGGTTGTGTGTTGTGTGTATGTTTGTGGGTGTGTGTTTGTGATTGTGTCTTTGTAGTTGTGTTTGTAGTTGTGTGTTTGTCGTTGTGTTTGTGATTGTGTTATATTGTGTTTGTGATTGTGTGTTTGTGATTGTGTTTGTAGTTGCGTGTTTGTGATTGTATTTGTGATTGTGTTTGTGATTGGGTGTTTGTGGTTGTGTGGTTGTGGTTGTGTGTTTGTGGTTTTGTGTTTGTGGTTATGTGTTTGTGATTGTGTCTTTGTAGTTGTGTTTGTGATTGTGTTTGTGATTGTGGGTTTGTGATTGTGTTTGTGGTTGCGCGTTTGTGGTCGTGTGTTTGTGATTGTGTGTTTGTGGATTTTATCTGGCAAACTATCTGGTTGAGGTCCAGCGGTGCACACTGCGATCGGATCCTTGCGGATGAGGTCCAGCGGTGCACACTGCGATCGGATCCTTGCGGTTGAGGTCCCGCAGTGCACACTGCGATCGGATCCTTGCGGTTGAGGTCCAGCGGTGCACACTGCGATCGGATCCTTGCGGTCGAGGTCCAGGCGTGCACACTGCGATCGGATCCTTGCGGTTGAGGTCCAGGGATGCACACTGCGATCGGATCCTTGCGGTTGAGGTCCAGGGGTGCACACTGCGAGGGGATCCTTGCGGTTGAGGTCCAGGGGTGCACACTGCGATCCGGAGCTGGCCAGACAAGATCGGCGAAGCAGATTGGCGAGGAAGGAAGCAAGGAGGAAGGAGGAAGGAGGAGGACGAGGAGGAGGCGGTGGAGGCGGAGGAAGAACAACTGTGATAAAATCTAACAACCCTCACCTGGCAGGTGGGGAAATACAAACAAACCTGCGAACAACAAAAAATTACTTTACTTCGAGCGATCCCAACCGTGACATTTCAATCATTTGTCTTGATGCCATAGTGAGGAGCATGTTGCCATAGTCGTTAGTATTGTAGTTCTCGATGTTGCTTGTGGGTCCTCGGGTTGTGTGCTGTGGTTGTGTGCTGTGTTGTGGTTGTGGTTGTGTTTGTGGTTGTGTGTTTGTGGTTATGTGTTTGTGGTTGTGTCTGTGGTTGTGTGTTTGTGGTAGTGGTTGTGATTGTGTGTTTGTAGTTGTGGTTGTGGTTGCGGTTGTGTCTTTGTGATTGTGTGTTTGTAGTACTAATGCCAACGAGCTGATTTCCACAAAAGCGACATTTATGCCAGAGGGTGTTTTTGTTTTTCCTTTTTGTGTCAGAAAATGCAAGGAAGACGCTCAAATGGGCAACACGCAACTGAGTTGTACTTTTACAACACAGTTTCCAGAATCAAGACCGCAATGAAGTTTTGTCCAATGCCCACTCCGACGTAGCCCATTCAGGCGCAAACATAGAGGTCCATATGGTTTGAAGTTCCAGGTGCTCCCAGCAGATTCACCCTAGTCACTAGTTGAACCTTGGCTTCGAACCCTAGCTTCGAACTTCGAACTATATAGATGCAAATTATATAGTTTGAAGTTGGTGGAAGATCACAAAAAAAAACCGTTTGACACTGTAAATCAAAGCGACATTGAACATGGAGATTGTGCCGCGGGCTGGTGTCTTGCAGAAACCTCCAGTGAACGAGGATGTGCTTGCATGGTGCTTGGAACGTGTGGATGGGTGCAAAGCCTATGGATTGAGCAAATGCTTTTTGTTGTACTTCTTTGGGTCTTCAAAGTGTGTTTAAATACGCTTGAGCTTTGGATGATTTTGGATGCTTTCCTGAGCAAGGTGTTACTCCAAGCTGGTGTATGCAAAGGTAAACCTAACCAAAGGGATTATCACAACCGTGCTGCTGAGCCTTTGCTTGGATATTCCAATCGCGACAACTGTTCCAAGTCGCGGCAGACGGAATTTTGCCAAGCTCCCATTTGCAGACGGGGTAGAGATTCGGCGCTTGATCGTCGCATGTCTATAATATATTATAATCTTTAATGTTTTTTGATGTATTGGTTTGGTTGTGGAGCACTTTCATAAATCACACGTGTTTTGTGAACGTAACTTTTCTCAGGCATCGTGTTCAGTGACAGTAGCTGGAGGACTACAGTGGACTGACATTTCTGCACAGCACAACGTTCCTGCTGTAGATGTGGAAGAGGTGAGCCTTTTTGTGATTGAATCGTGAAGTCAACAGAGGCATGTCATGACATGTACTAGTCCTAGTCAAAAGCAATTGGTTGAAGGTACGCGTATTCATTGGCAAAGCCCTCCCAGATTCGGTGCAAATAGCCCACCAAGCTAAAGCAAGTGATGCAGCCGAGGCTGGGGCCGAGGACAGCCAACAAGTGTTGAAACAAATGCTAGGCAACATTTTGAACTCACTGGACTCCAATGATTGTGAGAGTGCGAAGCTAGCAACCTATGAGATCATCAAGTGCTTGAAAGTGAATGAGGGTCATGTCTCCAGAGATCGCGGCGGCTTTCAGTATCGTCCGGACTATGTATTGGACTTTGTGCTTTTCACTGACTGTCTCAAACCTGCGAAGCACGATAGAGACACAGTCGATGAAACGCTCAGAAGGAACCTTTGCCAGGACAAGAACACTTTATAACTGAACATGACCTGCGCTACTTACATACTGACAAACTTTTTCACTGCCTATCACTCTGCTTTCTCACTGGCTCTCACTGCTAAGGGGACTGGGAATCATTTTGCAGCCTGAGTTGCGGGACCACATCCTTGAGCAGAACTGGAGGCTTCCGAAACGGTCCATCTTGCAGACTTTCAAAGTCAACGTTGATTGGTGCACCATGTTGTATTCAAGGGAGCACATCTACATTCAAGGCACTGTTTGGTTCGGCCACCTACGAATGGATAGCAGTCCACAATTTGCAAAGAGTTATTTGCTAGCAGAGCTCGACCAAGTAAAACTGAACCAACCACCGAAGATAGATGACTGGCTGCTTGGCATTACATGTCATTTTTTTGCTGGCCCAAAATTGGTGTCAACCAGTATTCAATTCAATTGATCGTTCAAGTAACCTTAGTGTAGATATATATGTATAAAACAAATATTGTATGTCAAGTGGTGTGGTGTTGCTTGCAACTTCTGCCAATTTCAGGTTGGATTGCATTACCATAGAGACCCGCTTGCTCCCGCTCCAGATTTTGGGGAAGCAGGCGTCGAGCGCTGCCTTCAAAACCAAGGCATGTGAGCGCATGCTCCGGCTAGAGTCTGAGGCAGGCATTGCTCAGCAGCGGCTGCGGAGTTTTATGACAGACATGGGAACAGAATCGTCACTTTGGACCATTCCGAACTTTGAAGATCCCAGTCAGAAATATTTTCCATATATCCTCCCAGTTGCAGATTGCGACCATGGTTTGCACCATTGCATGAAGGAAACAGAGGATGCGTATGATGAGTGGGGCGTGTATTTCAAACAACTGAAGGGGTTGTCTAAGCTCTTCGGTAGAAGAGATTCTGTTGACAGATGGGTGAAATTCAATATTCGTGACAATCCAAGAGTACCACCAGAAGCAAAAGATTCAATGGCTGTTATGTTCAAAACAACATGCCCATCTCTGGTGCAGCATAGATGGTTGGATCATTTTGAAGTCCTTCATTGGATTCTACAGCGCCAGAACTTAGTTACGCTCGCTGACGTGAAACCAGATTCAGACACAAACAGTGAAACTGATCTCTCTCAGGATGAGGGTGACTCTCTGAAGCGGTTGATCTCAGATCCCACTGTTGCTGCACGGTCTTGGGCGACAGCATGGGTCGAATATGAAGTGCACAAGTGGGGGTTTAGTGTGTACAACTACCTTCATGCCTGCCCCTGTCATTCCA